GGAAAGAGAGGGGATGAACAGGTACAGTAATGCCTTGGGATTATGTCTAGTGGTTCAAGTTTCAGCTTTATTCCCTCTTCTGTTTTATGAACCATTCCTACCCCTTTTTTGAGCCTTCTCTACGCAATAGTGGTGCTGGGAAGTGATGAGAAGGTGTTCATTCCGGCACACATTGCAACATGAATTTTACATTTACACTGAATGAGAGCAGGGACATCCCTGTAATGGTGAGGTATGTTGAAATCTTTGACAGAAATGCCTCTGTATTTGCAATGTGTTTATAGTGGCTTCTCAGACTTGTCTGATCAACAGATGGAGCAGGACTCTGGAGGAATGGAAAGAGGCTGATTAGCAGAAATGTGGTTTCAGGGGGAGCTACTGGTATAATTTCTCTTTGGAAGCATGGATCAGGCAATAAAAAGGTGAACACTGTGTGAACAAGCAGACAAAATTTCTAAAATAATCTTTGCTCACTCTAACTTGATGTTATAGTCAGGCATATCCTGTCCACACCAGACAGACACATTGTGTTCCTGCATTTTCAACAAGTGTTATTACAAGTTAAAAACTATCTGCATAAAGATCCTCTAAATGAGATTTCTTTTCTCATCTGCACAGGGTGTAGAAAAATTGCATATACTCTGTGCTACATACTGGGTTTTTTCTTATCCATGAATGACATCCCTGACATTTTAGGGGATTTTGAAAATTAAAATGCCAGCTGGTGCAGCATAATCAGACTTTGCTTCTTTGTAGTGGCTGATAGGGATACCAACCCTGCTTCATTTCATACCAACTTCTGTTTCTTTGCTGTATAAACTTGCTACAAGGCAGGTGGCACATAAACACATAGGTAAAAAATGTTTCTCAGGAAAATGAGATTGTGGAAGAAGTCTAATTGCCAAAGACATTGTTTAGAAATTGTTTAAGGCTTCATTGTATGAAATTTCATTCAAATGTACCTTGTTTGAGTCCAAATCACCACCTTTCGGATCTCACCTGGCTGCAGGAGATAAGAAGGGGTTGCAAGAACTTTGCTTCACTGGAGACACTAAAGAAACAATCTTAATAAGAAGGTTAGCCAACAAATTTCCTTCTGTGATTGCACACCAGAAATCAGGCAATAAAGTTGACTTATCTAAAGACTCAATTACAAAATTCTCAGCTACAACTTTTTTCTCTTTTTTTTTTTTGTTTTGCAAATGCAGTTCTCAGAAAACAAAACTAATACTGATTTTTTACCCACTTTTGAAGACCTTCACCAAAAGAGTTTCTGCTTTGTTTCAGACATTGCTGGGATTTGAACTTGGGTTGCTGCATCTCCCACCTCAGTGGGATTAGCCACACACTCCACTGTAGTCCCTCCCTCTAAAACAAGGAAGCTCAGGTTTGTTTTCACACAGACAATTTTCAAGGTCTGTTCTTATTGCAACAATTCATGGTGAAATCGTACCTCAGAACCTGCTTTCATATGGCTAAAGAGAAGAAACTGCATTCTGCAGCCTTGGTCTCTGGAGGTAGGCAGAGGGCAGAACTTTTGA